GTACAGGTACAGGTACAGGTACAGAGTTGGAACTATGGACTCCACAGCATATAACAACAACAATATATATGAATACGTATGTATATATAGAGTCGTGGTGTGGTGCTGCAGGTTAATGCACTGGACTACAATGCCAGTTAGAATCTCAAGGTCGGTGGCTCAAGCTCACCAGCTGCTCCTTGGAAACCCTGTACAGACAGGTTTACTATGGGTCAGAACTGACTCAACAGCACATCACCACCACCACATATAAAAAGATAGATGGAGATATATATATGTGTGTGTATATATGTTGTTGTTGTTACGTGCCGTGGAGTCAGTTCTGACCCATAGCAACCCTGTACAGGGTTTCTGAGGCTATGAATCTTTATGGGAGCAGAAACCCTCATTTTTCTCCCACGGAACAGCTGATAGTTTCGAACTGCTAACCGTGCGATTAGCAGCCCGATTCGTAACCACTATATGCTACCAGAGCTCCGTGTGTGTGTGTGTGTGTGTGTGTGTGTGCATACACATATGTACATATACAAAAAAAAGGAGCTCTGGTATAGTAGTGGTTACGAAATGGGCTGCGAACTTCAAGGTCAGCAATTTGAAACTATCAGCTATTCTGCAAAAGAAAGATGAGGCTTTCTGCTCCTGTAAAGATTTACAGCCTCGGAACCGACTCCACAGTACATCATTACCACCACCACCACATATAAAAAGATAGTGGGATGGAGAGATAGATATACAGCAGAGGCACAGACAGAAAATGGAATCAGCTGGTACGCGGCCCACCATTAACAAGACCCTGCAAAAAGTACTGGCCCAGCTTCCAGGGACCAGCAGCCTCCCCATATGCTCAGGTCTGGCAAAAAAAGTCAGAGGCTATTCACTAGGCCTTGGTGAATCTACCCACCATAGGCACCCAGGTTGTAAACTGGCCCAAGTCCTGCCCTCCCCTAGCCAGTCCTGAAGCTGACCTGCAGCAGTAGATGGTACTTGAGGATGCGCTGAACTGGTTTCAGCAGGAAGCTCTGCAGAGGCAGCGAATGGCGAAGCTGGGCCTGACGTTCCTGTAGCCACAGGGCCGCTGGGGGAGACAGAGCCAGCTCCCGAAGCAGGGCCAAGGAGCTGGGGGCAGAGCACAGGTCAGGGGGCAGCAGATAGGGAGCTGGAGGAAGACTTCGGGTACAGTCAGGGGCTGGCAAGGCTGAATGAGTCTTGGGGTGGGCTGGGGGTCCCTTACCTTGGGTAGTTCATGCAGTACAGCGTGTAGATATCAAAATCCTCGCTCTGTGGGTGACATGGGAGTCAGGGAATCCCTAGACCCTGGCTCCCATGATGCCCCACTTCCCAGACTGAGAGTCCCCACTCCACTCACCCGCTGCACGAAGCATTCAGCAATGCTCCTGGCACTGCTGCTACCTTCTAGGTCCTCCAGGAGCTCACTGCGGGAGAGTGTCAGGGAAAAGGGTAAGGGTCAGCCTGTCCCCAGACCTATCTCCCCCTCCCACCACGGGAGTGTTCCAGCTGGCTCTTGGTGGCTGCCGGGACCTTTGCAAAGGGTGTCATGGCCAGAGGTAGGGTACTAAGATGGCCACATGCAAAACAGCTCAGACCTGCTCTGACTCTGGCATGAGCCCAGGGGTGGGGTGGGCCGTGTCATGACTCGGCAGGGCCACATGACCTTAAGATCCTGCCATGACTGCCAGACCTGCAATCACCTGAAGATTCTATCAACACTCAGTGGGGTCATGACCCTTTGGCACCATCTCAGATCACCTCACCACGGTGACCATCTGTCTGGGCCTGCCCAGGACTGAGGGTTTCCTGGGTCCCGGGACTTGGCGCACCAACACTAGGAACAAACTAGGACACGTTGGCCACCAGAATTTTTACAGCGTCATGGTCTTCAGGCCCCACATGGAATCACCAAAATCCCATGTCCATCAGGTCAGAGATCCATCCTGCCGTCTGGAAGCCCCAACTTCCATCCACTCCACCCTCTGCCTCTCTGGGCTCTCACTCCAACAGGATCCCTGGCCGTTGGCACAACACACCAAATACCCACCAGGAAGGGACACTATGGAACTCCCCGTCCCACTGGCCCTGTCTGTCCCAGCCACCCCTGACCTGCTGAACTCGTAGATGTCCTCGATGTTGGAGAACAGCGTGTCCACCTGCTGCACGCTCAGCCCCAGGGACCCACCGTCCAGCAAAGGCCCCAGATAGTCCTATAAAAGAAATACGGGTTACAAGGGCCACCAGTCTGGCCTGGATCCCCACTTGCTCTCAAGTAGCTGCCTCTCTCACCTCCACGATGCTGCGGAGGTCTCGAACATAGGCCCGCTCAGTCTCCACGATCTCTCGGGCCACACGCTCCAGCCGTGAGGGTTTTGCTGAGGCAGGGGTCCCCACAGGTGACAGATGTAGGCTGATGGGGGGCCCTGGCAGAGGCTCTGGCCTGGATGCAGAGCAAGCTGGCATAGGCCCGGACACTGGATCCCCTTCGGAGCCCACAGTGCTTAGGGATGTGACACTCCCAGACCCTCGGGGGGAAGCCATGATGGGGGCTGTGGGGGCGTAGAGCGGGCAGTCAGGGGCGTCTCCCCAACTGCCCACCTTCCACAATCCTTCATTCACCCCTATCTGGTGAGTAGCTCTCCCATGGGCTCCCCCTCGCCTTCCCACTGCCCAGGCTTGGTCGTCCTGTCCTCTTCCACTTGGCCAGCACCTCCCGGGGATTCACGCACTTGCTCCCTCTCATCTAATTCACCTCCAAGCATCAGTCACAGTGATCTTTATTAATTTGCTCCTCTGATCAGGTCACTCCTTCCAATAAAACGTCTTCATGCCCTCAGGCTAAAGTTTAAACTCTGATCTGCAGACCTTTCTGTCTGCTCTTGTCCCAGAATCACATCATTTCTTACACTCGGAAACCCAGTAATGCCCAACCTCAGTACTTAAGTAGACAGCTTCCTCTAACTTCAGGGCCTTCACGCTACTGTTCATTCTCTTTTTGTCTGCTCCTCCCCAACCCCAACACACTCATTCCCTTAACCTTTCCATTTTCAGTTTAAATGCCCTCTCCTCCAGGAAGTCTTCCCTGATCTTCCAGGCGGGTTCAGATGCAGATCCCCTCACAGTCTTGACCCAGAGCTCCCCCCTCTAACTTCCCCACGTTGCTCTGAGTTGTGTGGGTAGGGCTGTAGCTATCTCAGTTACCCTGTGCTGACAGTATTGTCCAGCTTCTTCAATGGAGGAATGAACGCCTGGCTGGCTCCACATCTGCCTTGTATATGCTCACCTGCTCGGGTTTCACATACAGATGCACAGTTGCAAACGTCACCTCTTCGGCCACACCCAAGGCTGGGGCTGGTCTTGGACAGTCCGTGGGCTCCCTCAGGCATGACTGAGTAACACTCAATGAAGTCTGCTGCAGAAAGATCCCTTTCTTGGATATTGGGACCCCATGGACCTCCCAGTTGCCCCGGCTTCATGGGTTGGGGGCTGGGGAGTCTAAATCCAGGGAGGAGGGGCCTTTGGGAATAACTAATTGGAGAGATAGACAGAGTAGCACAAGTAGAGAGAACATGGAGGAAGAGAGGGAAAAGTTCAGACCGAATGAAGAGTAGAAGGTCGCAGAAACTAGGAGTCGCGCCGAGGCCCCAGGCAGAGCCGCAGGAGGCTCGAGGGCCCTGGGAACATTTGGGCTCCGGCTAGAGAGAAGGGTGAGGGGCAGGGCTGGGAAAAGTCGTGGGCGGAGGCCGCAGGGTCCCAGGGGAAGGCGGAGGAGGCTGGGGGACCGGATGCCAGGGTCCGGCAGACAGACGGCTCTCTCCCCCGCCCAGGGCGGCGCTGTCCCTGAGTCCTCGACCCCCTTCTCTAGCGATCACCATCCCATGGCCCTGCCTCCCAATACCCCTCCAGTCCCCAGCTCCTGATGGCGCCTCAGCCTACCCCCACTGACCGGCACGCCCCCTTATTGTTCAGCGGGCAGCGGCGCCGCCCCCTCCCCCAGCCCGCCGGGGCCCCTCACCTCCCCCTCTCACCTCCCGGGAGCCTCCAGCCCCAGCCCAGGCCGCCCAGTGCCTATTCGGCTCTAACGCGGCCCCCGAGGTTTAGAGCGGGGACTTCTGGATCTCAGCGACTCGGGGGCGTGAAGTTCGGACTCTTAGGCTTAGGGAACCGGAATCCTGAGTCTCTCGGAGTGTAGTATCCTCCGGCGGTCCAAGTTTCTTGGGTCTTCTAGATAGGGGATGCAAGCCTCGAATCCTGAGTCTCAGATGGGGCTCCAGGAACCCAAATTACTGGGTCTTCTACATAGGGCCGTTGGGGGCTCGGATACCAGAGTCCCCCAACTCCAAGAGTGAGGGCTTACATCACCTCCAGGTGGAAGCGCAAAGGGTCCCCAATCCCTGGATCCCTTTAAAGTGGTAGGTAATGCAGCCCTAGACAGGCTGTCTGGGGAGCTAGGGGTCTGGATCTCGAGTTCCTCAAACCCTGGAGGCCTTGGGTTCGGATTCCTAGGAACTCCTGGGAATCCGCGGTTCAGGATCCTGAGTTCTTCAAACAAGGGTACCGGAGGCTTGGCTCCTCCGGTCCTGCGAGGCTGACATCCAGTACTTGCGATTCCTCCAGGAGGGGGCGCAGGGGGCCTGGATATCTGGGGTCTTCTAGCCTAGGCGCGGGACCCTGACTTCGGGGTCTTTCAAGAGGCAGTGCAGAAATTCTGGATGCCGGGGTCCATGACTCTGGGTCCGTCAGGCTTCGGGATGGGAGACTCGAGACTCATAGCAACAGTGGCGCCACATCTGGGGCGGGAGAGGCCAGCTCCAGCTGTGGGACAGGGGGCGGCCGCCCGGGGCTTCCCCTCCCCCCTACCGCCGGGGCTCATATCCTGTTCCCGCCCGCGAGGGGGAGGGGCCGCCTTCCGGCCGGTCGGCTATCATAGGGTTAAGGCTCCACTTTCCCCGGGTTTCTGAATATGCATGAGGAGGCGAATCCCATGCAGGCCACGCCCCACATTCCTGGCCTCTCGAGGGCTTTTCCCTTTTACAGCCAGGGCCTTCAAGCGTGAGAATCCGGAACTAGCCATGCGGTTTCTCTTATTGGCTAAGCTAAAAGTAAAAAATTTGCATATAAAATTACAAGGCGGAGCTGTCCGGTAAGGTCACGTGGCCACGAACATCTGAAGAACTCCGCTGCGCCAGGGTGCGGCCGGAGCTCCAGTGGCGCAATCGGTTAGCGCGCGGTACTTATATGACAGTGCGAGCGGAGCAATGCCGAGGTTGTGAGTTCGATCCTCACCTGGAGCACTTGTGTTTTTCTCTCATTTAAAAAATAAGTATAAATCTTACTAGTCTACGGAGACATCTGCGTTTCATAGTAAGCAGTTTTATCTTTGCAATTTTCTGACTCGAAAGAGTGAGGTTTGGGAGACAATCGGTAGTGAAGAGAGACCAAAACAAACAAAAATCATTGCCCGTTGAGTGGATTTCAACTCATAGTACTCTACAGGGCATAGGATAGAACCGAGCCAAGGGGTTCCCAAGTCTAATCTTTATGGAAGCTGACTGCTGCATCCGCAAAGCGCTGGTAGACTTGACCTCTGACCAGTTAGCAACCAAGCTAGACCTGGCCACGGCCAGGTCTCCGAGAAGTATGCCATTTCTATCATGCCATTTCTATCGTGACCGCCAGGGGGCAGTGTCGCCTCTTAGTAGACCGTTTGGCATCTAATTTTGAAGCGCCGTCGATTTCTAAGGGTTTCCTAGGAGCTGCTGCGTTTAAATCGCCGACCTACCATGTGTTTAGCAGTTTAGTCCTTATTGTACACCTTCACACCGGGAGTCCTAATAAGACACTGAGAATCTCAGCTGAAAGCTTATAGATTTTTCTGCCTGTGGGAAGCTGATTTTTTCTCCATCTTTCTCTTTTTTCTTCCGTTTCTGAATCTGTTTTTATTCAACAAAAATTATTCTAGAAGTGGAGGATAAAGTCCCTACGGCTGAGGCTTTGACATCCTAGTAGAGAGGCCAACATTAGCAATAGATACAGCAACCGAATACATTTGTTATTGTTGTTAAGTGCCATCAAGTCAAGTTGGGTCTGACTCATAGCGCGACCCTGTAACAGAGTTTCCAAGGAGTGGCTGGTGAGTTTGAACTTTGGTTCAAACTGAGGTCTTGTGGTTCAAACCGAGGTCCAGTGCTTTATGCTACAGCGCCACACCAGGATTTAAAGAGCGGCTGGTAGATTTGAATCACCCATCTTGTGGTTAGCAGTCCAGTGCTTATCCTGCACCAAGATCCCACATTTTATGTTTTTTAAGTGCTGTGAGGAGCGATTGGTGGGTTTGAACCGCCCTTACAGTTAGCAGTCCAGTACTTATTCTATATGTGGTTGTAGTTACGTACCGTCAGTCAGAGCAACCTTGTATAGTTCACACCGGGTTGAACAGTCGACCATGTGGTTTGCAGCCCACTGCTGATCCCACAGTACCGCAATACCAGGAGTTCCTGTTGCTGGTGTTTACCTGCCATTGAGTTGGTTCTGATCCATAGTGACTGGTGAGCTTGAACTTCTGAATGGCTTTGCAGTCTGGCGCATTAACCCACAGCGCCACACCAGGACCCTAGAGCTTCTGTTCGTTGCTGTTGTGAACTGCTGTCAAGTCGATTCCGACCCATAGCAACCCTATAGGGTTTCTGAGGAGCAGCTGGTGAGCTTGAACCGCTGACCTTACAGTTCAAATGGCTTTGCAATGTGGCGCATTAACCCACAGCGCCACACCAAGACCCCAGAGCTCTTCTTCTTGTTGTTAGGTGCCAGCGAGTCCACACTGACCCCTAGTAAGCAACCGTATGTACAACAGAACGAAACACTGCCTGGTCCTGGGCCAACCTCACAATTGTCGCCACGCTTGAGTCCATCGATGCTGCCACTTTGCCGATCCATGTCACTGAGGGTCGCGCTCTTCTTCTCTGCCCCTCCACCTTACCAAATGATATCCTTCTCCAGCGACTGGTCCTTCCTGACAATAGGTCTGAAGTCTGACAGATGAAGTTTGGAGCTTCTGTTGTTCTTAAGTGCTATCGAGTCGGTTTCGACCCACAGCAACCTTGTATAGGGTTTCCAAAGAGCTAGTGACTAAGTGAGCTTGAACTGCCAACCTTGCAGTTCAAACTGGCTTGCTTTGCAGTTTGGTGCATTAACTCAACGCCACACCAGGACTCCGGAGCTCCTGTTAGGTGGTTATACATGTCATGAGAAAAGTAGAATTAGGTAAAGGGGTGAAGGAATAAGCAGCAGTATTCATTTCAATGAGGTGACATTTCAGCAAAGATCTAAACCTGGTGTATGAGCCATGGAAACTTCTGGAGGAATGGTGTTCCAGGCCCTGTGGCTAGAGCCTGTTAGTGTTTTATTGGAGAAGCTGGGTGACTATATTGTACAGGCAGACAAGGTAAGGGAAGTGAAGGGACCCAGGCCCATGTGAGCTGTGGAGAGGATTTAGAATTTAGCTTTTAGGTGATTTTGTTGCTAAGTGGTGTGGCGTATGCAACCAACCCTGTAGAGGATTTCCAAGGAGGAGGGTGACTGGTGAGTTTGAACCATTAGGCTTGTGGTTCAAACCGACCTCTTGGTCCAGTGAGTATGCTACAGCGCCAGGTGATTGTTGTTAAGTGCTGCTTATAGGGACCCTGTGAAGGGTTTGAGACCCTGTGTAGGGTTTCCAAGGAAAGCCACACTAGGACTCAGATATTCACAAGCTCCTTTTGTTGCTGAATGGGGCAATAGGGAAGAGACTGAGGGCAGGAAAACCATGGAGCTAGACAGTTACTATGGTTCAGCTGGGGAGTCACTGTTGGGGAGAGAGGGCTCTTGAAAGTGGCTCAGAGAGAATTGCTCTTGAAAGGGTATGAGTTTGACAGAAGAGGGTCAAGGGAATTCTCTAATGTTTATTCTAAGCTCTGGTAACTGCTGATAGATTTTCCTACACAAAGGTTGGTTTGATTTTAGAAGGGGTAGAGAACTGTTTCTACTAAAGTAAAGTGCGGGTGAGCCGGTTCCGATTCATAGCAACCTTGTACAGGGTTTCCGAGGAGTGGCTGGTGGGTTTGAACCGCTGACCCTGTCGTTCTCAGTCCAGTGCCACATCAGGATTCCTATACTAAAGGAAGGACCAGAGATACCTGTTTCTGCAAATGACTCTATTGTTTATTATTGATCTCTGCCTCCTCAGTGTCTTTGGGTCTCTGGGTCTTTCTCTGGCTCCCAACCCTTTTCCCTGGGATGTATTTTTCAGGGCCTGAGCGATTTCCCACCTCGGGGACAATTTCTTGGAGGTCTGCTTCGGCCAGTGAGCTAGGGGAAGGGGGCAGGAATGAGAAGGCTTGGAGGCCTGAGAAGGAGAAGGCGGAGGAGCGAAAGGGGTGGGAGGGGAGGAGGAAAAGGAGAGGATGGGATAGGTCAGAGTGGAGGGACAGAGGAGGAGGGTGGGGGAAGGGAGATGAGGAGGGCTGGAAGGAAAGACTAGAGATGGAGGAGGGGAGAGGAAAAGAGTGTAAGGGAAAAAAATAGGGAAAGGAAGAGTAGGGAAGGCTGAGGACGGGAGGAAGAGAAAGGGAAGGGGTAGAAGTGGGGGAGAGTATGGCAGCCAGGGAGGGTGGGACTGGCAAAGGAAGGGGAAGTGGAAAGAAGGAGGTGGGGAGAGGAGAAGGAGTAAGAGGGTCTAATTGAGGGGGTTGGTAATCAGAACGAAAGAGAGGCGGGGCTCAGGCCCTGACGCAGGCCGCTTCCGGGAGTGGGGCTACTCCGCCCCGGGGGTGGCTCCCGAGGCCTCTTGCCTTGTATGGTGCGAGGTCGCTGCTCGCCGTGCCCCGCCCTGAGACGCGCGGCCACGACCCAAATCCACTGCGTTCTCAAGGGTGACACTGTCTGGTTCGGAACCTGCCTGGAAACTATTAGGAAATGCCAAGATCCCATAATTCTGAACTTTCAGAATTCTGACCCGTTAAGATTCGGGCATTCCAAAGTTCTGTTGTTAAGTGCCGTCTAGTCGGTTCCGACTCTTAGCGACGCAGTGTAGGGTTTCCCGAGGAGGGGCCGGTGAGTTTGAACCACCGACCTTGCAGTTCAAAATCTTTACAGTCCAGTGCTTATCCTACAGTGCCACACCAGGACAGGACCTTGGAAAGGAGCCCTGGTGGCGCAGTGGTTAAGGTCTTGTCTGCTAAAACAAAAGATCAGCCGCTGGATCCCACCAGTGGCTCCACAAGGAGACAGAGCTGGCGATCTGTTGCTGTAAAGGGAACGGACGGGGGCAGTTGTACTCTGTCCAGTAGAGTCACTGCGAGTCAGAATCATCTGAAGGCACGCACCATTAGGATCCTGGAATGCCAGACTTCTAGAATTCTAGATTCCCAACTTCCTGGGATGTCAAGGTGCTAGAATTGGAGAGTCTGAAATTCCAACTCGCCAAGAGACAAATTCTGAGATTCCAAAACGATGAGGTTGTAGAATCCCGAGCCTTTAAAAGTTCTTTAAGATTTAAAAGGAGTCTAGATCCCTCAGACTCTCAAGAAGTCCAGAATCACAGGCTTCTGAGACCCCAAAACGCCCAGCCCTGCTTTTCCGGGATGACCCCTCCCGACCCTCCACCCCCAGGCGCTGGGCTTGGGCTCCGGCACATTCCGTCCTCCCCACTCCGCCCCGCCCTCCTCCCTCGGCCGAGGCCTCGTGGGGACGGAAACATCCCGACCCCGCCCGCGCACGAGTGAGAACTGCGTTGGGAGAGCCAGATTGGACAAGAGCGCCTGCGCCCCAGACGCCTTGGGAACTGGCTTTCCCGGTTCCTACTGGGTGACCTCACCTGGGCCCACCCTCTCAGGTGAACAGCCGGGCCCAGTGACGTCACTTCCTTCCAGGTAAGTGCCTCAGCTCAGGGCAAGTTTGGAGCGCTCAGTTGACTACCCAACTTTGGTTGAAAAAAAAAAAAAAAGCCACACCCAATTCACTTCTTTTAGAAGGCAGAAAAGCCAGGATTCAAGTTTACACGATTCTTTTTATTTAAAAATTCAAAAAAAAAATAAAATAAAACTTTTTAGGTAACAATATATATTACTTAATATATTATTATAGTATAATTATTCCATCGTTTACAATATTACAAAAGGAGAGAAAAATATAAGGGAAGCAGACGACCCAATATATATAAATACTATAAAATCTATTAGAATAAATAAAGTCGTCATAAATAAAGGGCCCAATGGCTTGGGGGAAGAAGGAGGCAACGGCTTTGGCTACTTGCTTTTGGAGAGCAATATGAGCACCAGGACTCCCCTGCTTTGGGGAGGCTCCACTAACCCCCAAAAGCTGGGGCCTCGAGGTCTAGGAAATCTTGGGAAGGGCCTGGTATTCACAGCATGTAAGATTTTAGGAAACAGATCTGGGTAAGGGAGAGGAGGGGGCTTTGTTGCCTTTTTCAAATTTGCTACATCTTGTCTTTAAGAAACCAGAACACTCCATCTCCCCACACCCTAAATACTGTCAAAAACTTGCATTGGGGTCCTGCCCCAGGGAAGGGGATTTTTGAAGGTGAGGGGGGTTACTTTAAATTAAGGCGCCCCCCCCCCAGATTCCCACAGTCTTAGGGCTCATTTGAGCCCATAGCATGAGAAATGGCCCCCTTATGAACCAGCCGATTTGTACTGAGCGAGGCACTTGTCACTCAGAAACGGAGATTCGATTGAAGATAGGGAGTCGGCGGGGGGCTACAGGTGGCTGGGGTGGCCCAAAAACCCCTGTCTCGAACACGGGTGAGTCAGAGCCCCCCAGGCTGCTGCCGCTACTGGCATATTCATCAGGGTCGGATCCCAGGGAGTGCGCAGATGGGCTTCGAGCCAGGCCTCCCAAGGGCCCCCAGAGGCTGCTAGGGGTGGTTCTCCGACAAGAGGGGCAACAGCTTGGGAGAGGGTCTCTTCGGGGCACAGGGGTCCCAGGGGCAGCAGAGAAGGCAGAGGGTGACAGTGGAAGGTCCCCAGGTGGTGGCGGAGGAGAGCTGGACGGCGAGAAGGAACAGGAGGAAAGGGAAGGACCTGGCAGGCCAGCTGGTGGTGGTGATGGATGGCGGCCTGATGGCAGGCCGGAGAAGCTGATGCTCTGGCGCAACATGTGGGGGTGTCCGGGGGTGGCCAGGTCCTCACTGGGGTTGTGGATGAAGTGGCAGCGTGAGCCATAGGGGCAGCGGCCCTGGAGGTAGAATTTGTGGCAGAGTTCTGTCTTGTATTTGGGGTGGCGGTTGGCCTGGCGAAGTTCACCGGTGCCATGGGCAAACTGACACTTGGCCCCATACCGGCAGCGTCCACTCTCTGAGAAAGTCCGACACAGCTCAGTTTTGTACCTGGAAGAGGTGGCTGGAGTTGCAGTCGGTGAGGTGGGTGAGGGCGACAGCTCAGGACCTAGGCGCGGAGCCAGGGGTGCAAAGCCTGGGGGGGGTGGCACCCAGGCGCAGGTGCGGCCCTCTACCAGGCTGGTGGAGCGGCCAGGTGGTCGGGGGGTGACCCCGGCAAAACTGGAATCCGATGAGCTCCAGGGTCCTGAGGACGGCCATCCTAGACTGGACTCGGTGGCTCCGCGGGTAGACACCAGGTCAGGGCTCAACGACAGTAGACTCTGCGGGGACAGAGAGTGGTTAAGACACTGAAAATGCAGGGTGACGCCCTTCCCTAGCTACAAGGTACCTCAAAAGCTTGCCTGCCCAGTTGGTTTGTGGGTTCCGCCTGAGCCCCACCTGCTGGCAGAAACTCGGGGGGGGGGGGGGGTTTGAGATCCCGGTTTGGAGGTTTTTATTTTATCCATGACAAACGGATCTCCGGATCACCCAGGGAGCTCCAAAGTCAAGGCACACCACTGCATCCCAATTTTGAGACTCTGGGACGCCCCGATTCTGACCCATGTGTCCAGGATCGCCAGTATCGTACCGGGAGGATCCGGGCGAAGTTAACTCGGAGTCCAGATCCCTTTCTTTGGTTTAGTTCTCAGAGCCCTTCCCTGGAGGGAAGTCGGCTTCCTCCGAGACGCTCGCCCCTGAACTGCCTCCGTACAAACCCTCAGCAACTCCTACTGGGGTAAGCCAGGTGTGGAGGCCATTTTCACCTCCAGACAGTTCTCGTTGGAGAAAACTCCTGTCTTCTCACCTCCAAGGCCACCCCACCCATGTTTGGGACGAGACTCCATTTTCGCACTGGTCTTAAAGGCAGGGGTCTCCGACCGGAGTGGGTGGTTCTAAGGAGTACCAATTTAAGAAGGAATTCAAGGACTCGGGGGTCGGAGTTGGCGGCGCCGACAGGGGCTTACCTCGTAGATGGCGGTGAGATCCATGACGGCGCGGGGGGCCGGTCGGCTGAAATAAGGCCGAGAACGGGAACCGTGGAGTCCCAGGCTGCGTCCCGACTAGAGAGCCGTGTTCTTATAGAGTGAATCAAATCAGGGCGGGACAGGGGCGGGGCCGAGGCAAGGGGGGCGGAACCAGGAGGGCGCTTCCCGGACGCGCGCCCCCGGCGCCGGCCGCGCCAGCCCTGGACTAGTCTCCTTCCGTCCGGCCCCTAGTGGCAGAGGGCGTGGGGTGGGGTTGGGGGTGGGGTGTCGGCCCAGTTTTCAAGACTGGAGACTGAGGCACTAAGGGAACTGGGGCCGGGGCAAGGTTTCAGCAGTAACTGACAAGCAGACAGCTGGAAACAGGGGTGGGAGGAGTGGTGTGTGTGTGTGTGTGTGTGTGTGTGTGTGTGTGTGTGTGAGATAGATGGACAGACAGACATGGAAAAGGAGAGACAGAGGGACACAGAAAAAAAGACAGACATATAGAGGTAGAAACATGCACTGAGAGGGAGAAACAGGATAGAGAGGAAGTGAGGAGACAAATACAAATTCAGAGTTGGAAACAAAGAAAAACACTGAGGAGCAAGACTGTAGAGATGGACCTGTAGACCCTGAGGGGAATCCTTTTCCTAGACCTGGGCTGCCCTCTGCTGCTACTTGCGGGTTGGTGGGGGGTGGCGGTGGCGGGAGGTGTTCCAGTGTTGGGGAACACCTACCTCCTTTCCCAGTTCCTCTGGTCCCTGTAGCCGCTGACTTTCACGCAGGTGTTGACACGTTTAGTCTAGGTCACTTCTGCTGGGCTAAGCACTCCTCTAAGCATTTTATATACATTTACTTGATCATGGTTACAAGTCAACCAGGTATTAATATGCCCATTTTACACAAGAGGAAAGAAACTGAGGCACAGACATGAAATCATTGCCCTAGCTACTCAGCTAGTAAGCTGCAATGGCCCAATCAACCAATTGTTGTTAAGTACCACGGAGTCGGTTCTGACTCACAGAGACCCTGTACAGGGTTTCCGAGGCTGTAAATCTTTAAGGGAGCAGAAAGCCTCCTTTTTCTCCCATGGAACCTCTGGTGGTTTCGAACTGCTGACCTTGCTGTTCGCAGTCAGACTCATAACCACTACGCTACCAGTACCTTAAATTATATTTAGAGGTTTGCCCGTTGAGAAAACTTTGAAGACTCAAAAGGGTAAGAGATCTTTTATTATGGTGAAAGGTTGCCTTGGTTGAACGTTGTTTGTGACTGGAGAAATGAACCATCCCTAACTGCTGTGCGGATGGGGGTTCACTTCGTCCTGGGAACTCCAAGTTTGTTTGGAGTTTTTCCCCACACTGGCAAGTATCTTATTTTCCCGTGGTTGTCCTGAGTGAAAACTCTCCCAAGATCTGGGAATAAAACTTAAAAAAAAAAAAAAAAAAAAGGCTCTGGGGAGTTCTGGTGGCTCAGTGGTTAAGCGCTCGGCTGCTAAAGGGGAGACAGGTGTGGCAGTCGGCACCATAAAGATTGTTGCTGTTCAGTGCCTTCGAGTTGGTTACGATTTATAGCGACCTGGTATAGGGTTTTCTGAGGAGCGACTGGTGAGTTTGAACCCCCACCTTGCAGGTCAAACCGATCTTGCGGTCCAGTGCTTATCCTATACTACACCAGGACTCCCTGTAAAGATAATGCTTTGTAAATTCTATAAACTAAAAAATCTGTTTCCATCGTGTCAGTTCCAGCACAGACAATTGTACTGTAAAACAGAGTAGAACCCCATAGCGTTTCCGAGGAAGCTGTAATCTTTATAGAAACAGACTGTCAACATCTTTCACTGGGCATCTGGTGGGTTCCAACGACCGACCGACCTGTTAACAGCCCAACACTTAACCCACTGAGCTCCTTCGTTAAGCTTGAGGTGTAGTGGAAATCGACTAGACTGCAACAGGGATGGCACTAGGTGAAAACCCGGAATGACGAGGGGGAGGGGAGGAAGAAATCTTTGTCACTGAGTGTGGTTGGTTCTAATGGTGGAAAGTTGATTCTTGCAAACTAGAGGTGGAGAGATTGTGCCAGCCTCCACGTCGATTTGCTCCTGGGAGCACGGGAAGGGTGGGGGGGAATCCCTGGGGCGGCGACTTCTGGGGCCGAGGGGGCCTTCCCAAGCCAGTCCCGTGAGCAGGGCAGCCGCGGGCGGCTTTGGCACGGTTGCGGCCTCCTGCTCGCCCGTGACTCACTAGCAAGGGGCGGGGGAGGGGGGCTTCCTGGAAGCCGTGACGAGGAGGCTCGGCCGGACGCCCGGGTTCCTCTCCTGTAACTAGGGCTTCTTTCTTCTGTAAACAGAGCTTATAAAACAACGGGAAAAGGGGGTGGCGGTGCCTGGGACCCTTTCCAGCAAGGCTCCAACCCCCGGTGCTAGTAACATGTCTAAGGCTGGAAACCATGGGTGGGGGCACTTTGGGGGTTCCCCGGAGCCCGGCTCGTCTCTGACCACAGTCTGAGAGTAGGGATCCCAGTTTCGATTCCCTGGAGACAAGGAACATTTCCCACCCTTGAGTCAAGGTGGCCCCCTCCCTGCCCCCATCTGCTGAGTCATCGGGCCAGAGAGCTGGAACGCTTGGGATCACTCCAAAGAGACTGCAAAGGGGGACTTTGCGCGCGGACAGACCGATACCCCCCCCCAAACACAGACCTGTGGGAACCAGGGGACAGGATCTCAGCCCCTCTTTGCGCATAACTTCGGGGTATCCCAAGCAACCTCTTCCTTCAGACCCTAAGAGTTGGAATTGTTAGCCCCTTCCTCCCCTAGACCCAAGGCCTACAGCCTCCTCCTTCATCAGACCCAGGAATTTCGATCTCCCAGCCCCCTTTTGGCTTGGACCCAGGAGTTGGGGGCTCTCAACCCCCACTCCCCACCCCCAGTGCTCAGGCTTCCCAACCCAGGAGGAAGTTCACCCAGGGCTCCTCCCCGCTCCCCACGTAGCCAGCGGGAAAATCCGCAGGCCCGGCGTTGGCTGGGAATCCCCTCTGGAATGATGTTGGGGAAGGGGATGGCCGGGTTCCCCCCCTCACCCCCGCCCCACTGGGGCGCACTGGGCAGGTCCTGGACGGGCTAGGAGAGAGGAGAACGGGCGGAAACCAGAGAAGCTAAAAATACAGCGAACACTTCCGGCCTAGGGGGAGGAGAGCGGAGAGCAGAGTTTCCAGAAAAACAAGCGGGGACGGGAAACGCGGGGGTGTGAGAGCCGTTGTGGGTGCGTGGGCGAGCAGGGGGCCCTGTACTGGCAGCACGTGTGCTTGTGCCGTGTGCGTGCCCAGCGTCATAGACTGGGTGGGAGCAGAGTGTGTGTGTGTGTGTGTGAGAGAGAGAGGTGGGAGGGGACAATGTGTGACTAGTGTGTGCGCCACAGGTGCAGGTGTGTACCCTAGCCACATGACCAGCTATGTGAGACTTAGAGTGCCTGGGTACGGTGGTTCACAATTGGAGAAATAGGTGTGGGACTTGTGTATGTGTCCAGTGCTTGGGTACATGTGATAATTGTGAATAAGTATGTGCAACTGCCTCTGCCTGTGGGCTGACCGTATTGTGTGCACATTAACTATCACTGGGTCTGCAAGTGTACACTCAACTGTCACTGTCTATACCTGCCATTGTCTTTGAGGTGTTTTTCATGCGAACTTGTGACTTCCGAGATCTATCTGCACATCTGTGTATAAAACTCAGAAAGTCAAACCCGCTGCTATGGAGCCAATTCCAACTCATGGGGACGCAGTAAACATTTCCGAGACTACCAATATTTATCTGAGCAGACAGCCTCATCCGTCTCCCACAGAGCAGCGGGTGGGTTTGAACCACCGACCTTGCAGTTAGCAGCCTAACCCACAGCACCACCAGGGCTCCTTAAATCTGTGTGTAGTTAATAGTTAAGTGCCGTCAAATTGGTTTAGACTCATAGTGACCCTGTATAAGGTTTCCAAGGAGCTGCTGGTGAGTTTGAACCGCCGACCTTCTGATCTAGTGCTTATCCTACAGCTCCACGTAGCTGTGCCCAATTGCAGGCTTTGGGGATGACTAAGTGTGTGTATGTAACTCTTTGAAGGTAAGACTGTATGTCCCTTCAGGTATGGCTAGAAAACCCCTCAACGTTGTATAACTGTGTACATCTGTGTGTGTGCCACATGGAGTGGGGGGTACAGCTGAGTGAGGGTGTAACAAGGTCTGTACACTTGTCTGTGTCTGTGTAGTGTGCCTGTTTGTGTTCATTCACCAGATGTGTGAACAGTGTTGATATGTGTCTGAGACCTTATGTGTAGGCGTCAAGAGACTACGTGTGTGCCTTTGAACGTTGTAGGCCGGTGTCTGGTTGTGGTTCCTTTGTGGCCCAGTCACAAGGCAGTGAAACTGGTGAACTTTGAAAGTTCCTGACGTTTGCAGCATGTGTGATGGCGAGGTGGTGGTGGTGGGGTACCTCTCTGTCGCTGTTGGCATCTGCCTCTGTGGGCAGAGCAGACACGCACACATGGGTACCTGAGAAGCTGGGGCTTTGCGTCTGTGCTTGGTCTTATCTGTTCAGAGACGCTGCTTCTGATAGTGTTGGGCTGAGTCAGCCCATGATGGGCAAAGTCCGCGATGGGGTGAGAGATAGTGAGTTAAGTGCTGGTTACAGGGTTATTTGTGTATTTATGTGGTTGGATTATTCCCTTGGAGAGTTTGTTTGTGGGAGTGCCACTGGAACTGGGTCTCTGGGGCACCATAGTTGTAGGATGATGGTTGGGTCAAGCTAGCTTCTGTTGGGATAAGATGGAGCTGTTCCAGTTTCCCCCTGGGTCTAATAACCTAGGAAGAGTAAAAAAAGCCCTCACCAAGGCCCTCCATGATCTACTTCTGATTTCTGTCCTGTTCCTGTACCTTTACTGTGGTCCAGGTCTCTCAGGGTCTTTGCACCTGCCGTTTCCTCTCTGTGGACTGCTCTTGCCCCACATGTTCATATAACTTGTTCCCTCGTTCAAGTCTTTGCTCC